ACATCCCTTTTCCTAAACTAAGCAATCAGTAACGTTACCTATCACCTTGTACCATATCAATTTTATTTCACCCACTTTCCTACAGGTCTACCATACATAATATATTTAATATCTTTATTCTTCTGCCCATATCACTAAAAGATAGTTCCATATATAAGTAAAACCCTCAAATGACTTTAAATTTGTATTCCATATAGTATCTTCTGTAATGTCTTTCAACTAGATTTGTTAATTCCATCGACCATGTTAGAGTAACATCAAGTCCTGCTTCCAACAGTATTTTCAGTATCTTCAATTACCATCTGCCCCCATCATTAATAAGTATTTCTGTATATAAAAAAAAACCCCAAGTGACTTTATATTTATATTCCATATGGTATCTTCTGTGATGTCTTTTGTCTAGATTATTAATTCCGACAACCACGTTAGGGTAACAGCCAGATCATCTGCATGCCCCAATTCCATAGTTCTTTTGCCTTATAGCTCAACATATACGTAATCCATTTTTCAGAGAGTCCAAAATAGAAAGTTCCAGTCCGCTCAATCACAGGCCATTTTCCACATCCCAAAAACACCAGCACTGCAGAGATCTGTTATTCTTCTCAAAATGGTATAAGTCTATAATTTGCCTCAGCTGTATTTTCATGTATCAGCTTCTATAAATCCCGCTTATTTTATTTAATCGTCTCTTAAATAACTGGCATTAATCTGTTGGCTAAAAAAGAATTGTAGTTTAAATTTTTTTAGTTTTGTAGAACCTGCTTCTTCTTTTCTTAACTTGTTGTGGTTTAGATCTCCACCCTGGTTGCCTTTCTAGGACTTGTATATCAGCTGATTGAATTATATGCTGGTCTTTAACTTGATAAGACATCAAATCGAGATTCAAAGCCGCCTCTCTTGTATTTATAGGTGATCCAGCTATAGCCTCTGAAGGAGAATCCAAAAGCAGCTCATCCAAAAAGCCCTCTATAACTTGTCGTTTTTCCATTACCTCCATCTCCATCTGCTTGGCCTGGGTTTCAATCTCTTGTTCATTTTGCTTTTCTTTATCCCCCTCCTGTATTCCTGACACTGATGACATAAGTGGAGATGTTGGGCCCATTTTAAAAACCTTGTAGTAAAATTCTTCTGCTTTTTCAACAGTGTTTAATTGATATCTTTCTCCTTGATATCTCAATATTATACCAACTGGAGCATCCCACCTAAATGGGATGTTTTGTTTCTTTAGCTCAGTCACCAAAAATCCAAAATCCTTTCTATCTTTTAACATCTTGGACGGCAGCTCTTTATATATCCAGATCTTCATTCCATTCATTTCTAGAGTGGAGTTAAAAGACTTTTGCACAATATCATTTCTTATTCCTTTATCAGTAAAATAAATCACCACATCTCTAGGCAATTGTCTTTGCTTTGCCACCCAAGAATTTACTCTGTAGGCCTTATCAATCTTACAGAGTACTTCTTCAATGCTGACCTTTAAGATCACAGCCAGAACTTCAGCAGACATCTTTCTCAAGTCTCTATTATTTTCCTGTATTCCTCTCATTCTGATCGCAAATTCCATGGTTCTAAATTGCATCATTGTAACTTCATTTTCAATCCTTTGCTTTATATTATCTGCATTGTAAGTCTTGTGATCAGCTTCCTTCATTTTAGACTCTATTTCTAAATTGATATCTTTATCCATCTTTAGAATTATTTCTGAGAAGCTTTTCAAAGCTGTTATAATATATTGCTTCAGGTTATCATACTTTTGTTGAACCAACTCTTTAATTTCCTGTCTAAATTTTTCAAGATTCTGGTTCATAATCTCATCATGTCTTGCCATCTCCTCCACAACAAATTCCTTTAAATTTTTGAAACCATTCTTCTGCAACTGCAAGCTCAAGAATTGCTCTTGTGATTTATAAATGGGGAGCCCCCCCCCCACAGCTTGGTTGTCTGGCTTTGTCAGTTTTAACGCCATCCTGCCACACAAACAGACTCTTTTTAAAGAAAAAGTCTTCTCTCCACTCAGTATCAATATCAAGTCTCTAAGAAAGGAAGAAGCATGAAACAGAAATTTTTCTCTTCCCTTGTAGCCAGTGTTATTGCTTCAGATACTTTGTAGCAAGTTAAACCATTCAAACGGAAAGACTTTCACTTTCAGCTTTCTTCTCAAGCCTCAGCCAGCCACCATTTTAAACTTTTTTCCCCCTTTTCACTCGGTTTCTTCATTCTTAAAATCAATCATAGGGTTGTTACAAATACTTGCAATTTAGAGTCCCAAATCCGGATTTCATCCTGCTTATTCAAGCAATCTGTTAGTTTTCGCTGATTAGGTTGGTCACATTGTCTAGCTCTGCAAAGCACAGAGTTCTCCCGAAGCCCAGAGCAGCGGCGAGCTGGATAGGGAGCCTCATCCTGCTTCCTCCCCAAGAGTAAAAAAAAAACTCTGGGGACTTCGCAGAGTCCTGCTCTCGCGAGCTGCTCTCGCCAGCTCACCTCACATTTCCTTAAGGAAATGGAGTTTTTTGAGCTGCCTCCCAGCTGTAAAGGCGGCTCTTTACGGGCGGCGGGGGTGGCGGTCCCAAAAGACCATCTAGCGACGACGGAAGCCAAACCGGAAGCCGACCTCACTGTATTTTTTGAGTGGGGCAGAAGAAAATGACTACTCCAAAGCTTGGGGGGAAAAAATAATTCTTCCTATTTTTTAAAAGGGGGTTGCATTTGCTAGGTACATTTGCATCTGTTTGATAGTTTTGCATTTGCATTTAAGCTTCTACTAAACCAGCAAAGGTACAGTATTTCTTCCATGCATGAGATGATGGGAGGAAATAGGTTTTCTTTTCACTTTTCAGTGAGCACAGTTAATTTTAAACACTGTACCAAGGCAATCAGGACTCTTGTCATAGATCTTGAAATACATCCATTGGGAGACTCAACTTTATTCTTAGAATGTTTTCAGTATTCCTTTTCCCTGTATTGTCTTGCTGATATCCACATTTCTGTCTTTCCTAAAATCCCCCTTTTTTCCCCACTGAAATCTGACAGAAGGGTTGCCTTTAAAGAGGTCTATATATGCAGCTGCATAGTGTCCTTCTTTCCTACCCTGCACACTTAGTCGATTAATCCATTAGGGTGATCAAATGGAAAGGAGAAAAGAGTGCTTGAACCTTGCAGAGTTCTGTCAGCTTCCAAATCTAAGCCGAAGTGATGTGCCCCAGAGGAATGTGAAAAAGTGAACCTGCTGAAATGCTCTATTCCCATCAAATGTCTTATCTTCTGTGTAATGCTCGCTATATGATTCAAGGGTACCTCAAGTTCATCAAGCAAAAGAACAAGTTGCTTCTTTGTGCAGAAGAACCCCAGGCAAACAAGGTGGAAATAGTTAGGAAGAATCTGATTGAGTTATTTAAAATCACTTCAAGGGCAAGTAATAAGCATTTATTCAGTGGCTGTTATGAATGCAAAATATGCCATACACCCTTGTCTCTCTGCCTGCCTATCTCTCTCTCTCTCCTTCTCTCTTCCTCCCTCTCTCTCTCTCTCCAGTATCTATCTATCTTGTTCATCATCACCAATATTTATCTATATACCGTGTTTCCCTGAAAATAAGACCCTGTCTTATATTTTTTTGAACCCTGAAATAAGCGCTTGGCCTTATTGTCATGCACTTAAAAGCTCGATTGGGCTTATTATCAGGGGGAGTCTTATTTTGGGGAAAACAGGGTACCTCTCTCTCTCTCTCTCTTTCCAGTATCTATCTATCTTGTTCATCATCACCAATATTTATCTATATACCGTGTTTCCCTGAAAATAAGACCCTGTCTTATATTTTTTTGAACCCTGAAATAAGCGCTTGGCCTTATTGCCATGCACTTAAAAGCTCGATTGGGCTTATTATCAGGGGAAGTCTTATTTTGGGGAAAACAGGGTACCCCCCCCCTCTCTCCTATCCTATCCTATCCTATCCTATCCTATCCTCATCATCACCATCTATGTCTGTCTGTCTGTCTGTCTATCATCTATCTAATCTACCTACCTACCTACCTACCTACACACACACACACACACACACACACACAAACTCACACTCACACACCCTCCTTTTAACTGATTTGACAGGCAAATAGAATAGAAGGTTAATAAGGAAGCTTGTGGGTTATGCAGTTATGAAGCTGGCAAAATGCTTTCCCAAGTATTGCTATGAATCTTTCTTTCTTCCTCACTGGGATGGATCTAGTCATTAGACCAGCCTTCAGCAACTGGAAACTTCCCAGATGTATTGGGATAACTCTTAGAATCCCCATTAGTCATATAAACTGGAAACTCTAGAAATTGCAGAATTCTGACTAGACAAAACTATCCTGGCCTGTGGAAGAAAGTTGTTTATGGCCCTATTTGCTCCCTAGATGAATTGGGGGGAAAAACCTTGAGGCATAATATGAACCTTAATGAAGTCAATAATATTGTCAAGAAGGAACATAGTTTGCATTCAATTGATTGTCTTTCATGGTGATGGAAGTGAGGAAATAAGGATGACAATTGGCTTGATCCATGGAGCCAAATTTCCTTGAAGTAATATTTGTAGTTTATTATCTACAATCAAGATAATTGTCATTCATTCATTTATTCATTCATTCAATTATTTACCCTGCTGCAATCATAAGTAGAATCTTAGCAGCTTAATTTTTTTTTTTGCAAATAATAAAAAAATAACTCCACATAAACCCCCAAACAGTTGCTGGCATCAACACTCAGACACCCTCCAGAAAAGCTCCATTTTTAGCTGTTTCCAAAAGGCAGATAATATTGAAACCCATCAAACCTCCCTCAGGAGCTATTCTAGTTTTTAACATGCTTATCTTTCAGGAGCCTGGCAACTGTGAATATGGATAATATGACATATAAGGCAGGAAGGACAGAGCCACTTTTGGGCTTGTAGCAATTGTGCAAATACTTAATTTTAATGATTTTGATTCTAGTGCGATTATGCATCTGTCCATCTGTCCTCTTACCTCAATATAGCTTTTCCATGAACAGACGTAGCATTAATGATTCACAGGAATCTTTCTGTGTTGCCAAGGAAAAAAATGTAACAGTTCTGAAGTATATGTTTTTTCCCCTTTCTGCTAAATATCAAAAGCATGCAAGTGTCAGTGTTTAAACATTTTTTTTTATTTTCTTTCAGCATGATTTGTCAACATAGCCCTAAACCTTTGTTTTGTCCCTGCTTGTCTTGTTAAAATCTATGAAGTTAGGCTGCCTTCAGTACAGTGGATTGCAGTTTGTGCTGACTGGGACTAAGGAAAAAAAGATTGTAGAAAGATCAGACTAATTATTTCATACCATATTTATCTGAGAAGTGTAGTGGGTAAGGCCCAAACTAGAAGCCAGGAGTCTCTGAATTCTAGTCTACTTTAAATTTAATCTTTTTCATAACACCTAACAAAGCCAGTCAGCCAGCCTGCCTTCCTTCCTTCCTTCCTTCCTTCCTTCCTTCCTTCCTTCCTTCCTCCCTCCCTCCCTCCCTCCCTCCCTCCCTCCTAGTAAAGCTTCCCTTTCCCTTACTCCATCTCCCTCTAGTTTTGAGCGTTTCTTTTGGTTGTATTTCCAGAAGGAGAAAAGGCTACATATGTTCATTTATATGTTTGTATGCCAGTATGAGAGACAAATTATTAGCAGATGGGAAATCAATTAATTTTCTAAATTGAGTAGCTCTATTGTGTAGTGGGCTTCAGTAGGCAAGAACCAGACCAGCATAGCTGCAACAGTATTTATTAATTCAAAAAGGGAACTGAGGAACTGCAGGCAATTGCCTGTTATTTATATTCTAGGCCCGTGATGGCGAAACTATGACACGTGTGCCACAAGTGGCACAGGTAGCTATATCGGTGGGCACGTGAGCTTAGCTGTGGACGCACATGTGCGTGCTGGCCAGCTGATTTTCAGGCCTTCTGGGCCACCGGAAGTAGGGAAACAGGCTGTTTCCTGTCTCTGGAAGGCCTCGGGGTGGTGGTGGGGAAGGCCCATTTTTCTCTCTCCCCAGGCTCCAGAGCCTTTCTAGGAGCTTGGGGAAGGGAAAAAACGGCCTTCCCCACCCCCCGGAGGCTCTCTGGAGGCTGGAAATGGCCCATTTGCCAACTTCTGGTGGGACCAGAAGGCCTGTTTTTTGCTTTCCCCAGCCTCCAGAGCCTTTCTAGGAGCCTGGGGAGGGCAAAAACAGCCTTCCCCACCCCCCAGAAACAGTGGGGTGGGGAAGGCCATTTTCACCCTCCCTAGGCTCCTAGAAAGGCTCGGGAGGCTCGGGAGAGAGAAAAATGGGCCTACTGGGCCCATCGTGCCATCATGTGCCAGGAGCGGGGTAGGGACTGGGGGTTCCGTGTGCATGTGTGGGGGTGGGGCGCAAAGAATTGTGGGTGTGGGCACGCGTGCACATGACCCCCCTCCCTCCCTTCCCCCCCCCGCTCCTGGCATGCGATGGCAAAAAGATTAGCCATCACTGCTCTAGGCCCACAGGGCCTTAACCAATCATAGAACTAGAAAAAACCATGCCTAAATATAAATGTTTTAAATTTCCCTCCAAAACAGTTGGGGGTCATCTAAAGGTTAGTTTCATTTTACACAACTATATACATTCAATACATAACAAGCTCCTTCTATAGACAGCTAAGTTTTAATTGTTAGCTATTTATTATTTTTTGGGTCCAACCTCTCCTCTTTCTTGCAGTATGGCTTCTGAAAGTTTATATCTCTATATACGCACACTGAAATATATGAAATATTAATTACTTCAGTTCTGGAGTTCGCATAATGTCTGTTTCTTTCTTTACACTGAAATATATGCATACTTGTATACTAATGCCTTGCAGCGGGATGGGTGGGTGGCAAACAAATTCAATAAATAATAATAATAAATAGTACCCTCACATTTATTGATGGACAGAAAGAAGCGTCCTGGATTGGTTTGGCATTGACAATCCTAAATTAACCATAAAACAGATTCGTGGGGTATATATGTATATGTTCTGCCTAACTTTTCATTGGGGGGGGGGGAATTGTCTTATATTCACATGTGGGCTAAATGTTATAAAAATTGAAAATCAGTGTTAAGTGTGCATGAGCCATTACGTGCTTATGTCCATAGGTGTGCACACAGACCCTGTGATCCTGTGATCTGGTTTTCTTTCATATTGATCTGTTATGCGTTCAGGATGATTCTGATATCAAGCAGGATGCATACAAATAAATTCCACTTGTAAAATGCTATTTTTCATTGTACAAGAAAGTCTATGCATTACTTTCTCATTTACATTCCATGTCTCTCTCTCCTGCATCTATTATTATTAAAGGCTGTTTTAATCATTTCAGTTTGGTCCTATTTTTCTTATTTATCACTATTTGAACTTCCATTTCACTATTGTTCCAATGTCCTCGTTACCTGACATCTAATCTTAGGCCTATTCTTATCTGTGCCAGCTTCAGTTGTATCTTAACCATATCCTGATACTAATCGCACATTGTACCCCCTACTTCTCCCCTGGGTCTCTTTCTTGTTGTATGCTGTGGTCAGCTAACTCAGCTCAGTTCCAATTGGTTTTTGGAACTGCTGTTGGCATTAGTTGACATCACACCACTGCCACATCTTGTATTGCTGGGTCTTGCTTCTTCTGACTTTGACTCTTCTGATTTTGACTTTGCAGTGATAAGTCTTTCAGTATTGCTTCTTCTAGCTTTAACTCTTTTGGATATTTGGTGCATCTGGTCCCCTCTGGCTTAACTTCTTTCTTGCACTTCGTGCTTCTCTCTCCCACTTACTTTTCTTTATCCCACATCAAGCTGTTGAGTCAGTGATGAAATTTTAAAAAAAAATACTACTGGTTCTGTGGGCGTGGTTTGGTGGGCGTGGCTTGGTGGTCATGTGAATGCCTGGGCATGGCCAACTCAATGTCACTCTCACTGAGTCACATGACAACCCCCCCCCAGCCAAACCTACCCAGATTTTGTGGCTCCCGGTGTTTTCTATGGGAAATGGGTCATGTGACTAAGTGGGCATGGCTAACTTGATTGGTCTCACTCTTAGGAAATTTCTCCTTAGTCCAACTCACAATAAAATAGCACAATGAAATAGCACTGTTCCAATATTTAGAATAGAATAGAATAGAATAACAGAGTTGGAAAGGACCTTGGAGGTCTTCTAGTCCATCCCCCTACTTAGGCAGGAAACCCTACACCACTTCAGACAGATGATTATTCAATCTCTTCTTAAAAACTTTCAGTGTTGGAGCATTTACAACTTCTGGAGGCAAGTTGTTCCACTGATTAATTGTTCTGGCAGGAAATTTGAGGGGCTCCTACAAAAATGAGGGACTTAATGTATTTTTCAAAGCACCAAAAGGCACAACAAGAAACAATGGATGGAAACTAACCAAAGAGAGAAGGAGCCTAGGACTAAAGAGAAATTTCCTAAGGGTGAGATTAATGAACCAATGGAATAACTTACCATCACTAGAGGCTTTCAAAAAGAGTGAGGGAAGTACACCCCAAAAGGACAGTGCCAGGAACCACTAAAATAATGCAGAAAACTTAAAACAGCCATTCCCCTTTTTTAAAAAAGTTAACCCCAAAGCAAACGCAGCAGCTGAGAGGTAAACTAAGAGCAGCTGCTCAGGCTAATTGAAAGCCTGGGCATGCTGCCAAAAGCCATTAACCCTTCCAACTCTATTATTCTATGTTCTCTATGTTCTAAATTGGGTGCTTCACAGCAGAAGCAATACAGCTGGCTGGATCACATGCATTAAATTCACGGCCTATATGATCAAGTTGCATCATTGTCCCCTCCTGTATCTTTTCCCCAAAATAGAAACAAGAAGTAGCCAACACTGCAGCAGTTATAAAAGGTCTTGGGAAACTCCAGGGATTATCAGATGATCACAGAAGTGTTACTTAATACTCTTTATAATGAAAATGTTTGTAATCTTGTCCTTCTTGAAGGGAAGAGGTTAATCCCATCCCTAGATGGGTGAGTGATGGGTTTCCCTGTCCTAATCCCGTCAGTTTCTGTTGTTTATTGACTTGATTCAGCGTGAATCGGCTGCATTCCAGCTGCAACTGTTAAGTGGAGCTATTAACTGAAGAGAGAGAGAAGAAAAAAACCTCTCTTGCACTTTGTTTTTAACTGGTTTTCCGAACTGCCTAAGCAATTTATTAATGGTTTGGGCGAACTGGTGAGAAGTGGCTGAATTTCACCTGTGTGTTGAGCCCTGATGCCTCTTTATCTCTGAGATAGCTCCTGGTGCAACTGCTACTATGCATGGATATACACTAGGTTCTAGCTGACTAGAGTTGTACTATCATCATCAAAGCCTTTCAGATACCTCTTGAAGCTCTTCTGTTAAGCTTCCAAAATCTTCCTTATTCCAAAAATAGAGGGATTTTCTTTTCCCTTTCTCTTTCTTTTTCTTTGGACTTGGCTCTCCCTCAGACCAGAATCCACCATGGCTAGATTTTCTGCTGAGCTGGGAAACATTTTCTGCTTGGACTTTCATTAGCTGTACTTACAACTTGACCGCAGCTGTTGTCTTTTCCTTTTGCAAACTTTGACTGTGTTTGCTGTAGCTAACTGAATAACAGAGTTGGAAGGGACTTTGGAGCCCAACCTCCTGCTTAAACTAAGTTCCTCTGGATTCTCTTCTTCAGTTGCCCTTTCCTTCCTCTTCTCGTCTTCTATGGCTCCCCAACCTTTTTGTCACCAGTTCTGTGGAAGACAATTTTTCCGCAAAATGGGGGTCGGGGTGGGTGGGGAGGAGAAGCACGCAACTAGATCTCACATATGCACAGTTTTGCTCACCCACTGCTCACCTCTAACTTTGTGGCCTAGTTTCTAACAGGCCAGAGAATGGTACTGGAATGCAGCCCAATGGTTGGAGATCCTTCTTCTATGGAATTCTTCAGCAAAGCACTAGTTTACATAGCACAAACATTTGAACACAGATATGCTGCAATCCCTCCCTCCCTTCCTTTCTTCCCTCCCTCCCATTTTGTTTTTCTCTCTTCTGGCATTTTGAAATTCAGTCTATTTTAAACAGCTGCATGCCTTTTAAAAGGAATAGTTCCCTTTTTCTTGTGTTCTTTTTTCTTATGTGGGGCCCTTCTTAAGTTTTTAGTGGAATAGAAATGAGGCAAAACTATATGACATTTGGTTTCCTTCACAACCATCCTCTGACCTGATCATAGTTTAGAATCCTCAGAGAAACAGGGAAAGGTAACTGTATAAATTATAATTCTATGCCTTTTGTCACATAAAATGCTTTACAGAAAAATGCTTTGTTATTCCTCATCCCCATGCATACCATATTATCTGATCCTGAAATGGCCATGGAGCTAGATTGTGAAGCTTGCTATTTGGTGTTCAGCCTCAGCCTCAAACTCTTCTTACTTTACAACAAAGAATAAAAAGGTGCTACTATGCATGCTAAGTATACTTTTGGCTAAACATATTGTATAAATAGAGCCCTGGAAATAACAAAGGTATTTTACCATCTTATTCTACCTTGTTGATTGCCGTGGACAATTACTTGAGGTGAGTTTAGGTTGTAGATCAATTATTATGTTTTGTGTTGTATTTTTAAATCACTTATGATTCGGCATTCATTTTGCAAGGGTCTCCACTATATCCTTGAGGTTCAACATGCTTGATCTGTGTCCAAAGCAGATTTGACAGCAGAGATAGGCAGATGACAAATAATGGTTCAAGTTTGATATTTCAGTTTCCTTTCCAGATTTGACAATGCTTATCAAGCAATTATAACCGATCTATAAAGATGATAGTTGGCACATCTGTCAAGTCAGATATTACTCTCTATATTTTGTTCATCAAATTCTATTTAGGGAATCTTCCCCAAATAGAAGAGCCATATTGTTTGTTGGTATAGAATCGAGCAAGAGACAATTTGCCTATTCATATTTAAAAAAAAAAATATCGTAAGCCGCTGGACACATGTGCTGATAATGGCAGTGGAAGAAAAATTGAATTCTGATTGTCAAAGGGTAATGATGAATGTGAATTTACATAACAAAAGCATCAAACAAACTGCTTCTAGCAATTAGAGAACAGCTTGATGCAAGAGACTGAGATTTGAAAGACTGCACCCTTTCAAAGTACACATGCTAATGCAGTATAGAAATGAGGAGAGCTTTCTTCACTAACAAGTGGAGTCGCCTTTGAATAAGTACTAATGGCAAAAGAGGAATTCATTAGGTTGGAGAAGAGACTGAATGCTATTTAGCTATCCATCCTCAATTCCTTTTACCAAAGTTCAAAAGGAATGGATTAAAATTTGCAGGTGGGTGCAGCAGGGTTAGGCAGTAATATTTATTCCCCCCCCCTTTTATTCATTGCTGGTGCTGTAGTGTATATATAAAGCTAGTTTTATATATCCTCCTTTATACAGCCCTACTATATAGGCTTCGTTGGCTAGAAATGAGGTGACATAAAAGTACAATAGGAAGTACAATGGTGACTTGAACCAGTGGTGGATTTCAAAAAGTTTTACTATTGGTTCTGTGGGTGTAGTTTGGTAGGCGTGGCATGGCTTGGTGGATGTGGCAGGGGAAGGATACTGTAAAATCTCTATTCCCACCCCACTCTGGGGGAAGGATACTGCAAAATCCCCATTTCCTCCCGATCAGCTGGGACTTGGGAGGCAGAGAATAAATGGGGGCGGGGCCAGTCAGAATTTTTACTACCGGTTCTCCGAACTACTCAAAATTTTCGCTACCAGTTCTCCAGAACTGGTCAGAACCTGCTGAAACCCACCTCTGACTTGAATATGCAATTTGGCTCAGTGATTTTGCTTAACTGTCCTCCAGCACGTTTGGGGACTGATGAATCACCAGTAAAATCCTTTTCGAATGGGATGGATTCTTCAATTAAGGAAAAGGCTGGTCCCCCCCCCATCCAGAGCGTGTATAGCAGAATTGGTTTGGAGACTTCTGCCAAATTGTTTTTCTGCCTCCTTAGTCTATTAGCCATGAGCTAATGCAGAAAAGTAGCTGTCAGCGGCTGGCAGATCCTGCAGGTACCCAACTGAGCAGAAGTGTTTGATGAGCTTGTTAAAATTTCAGATTGTTATTCTAAATGAGCATACACATACTGCACTCTTTAAACTGGCTTAATAGCCACTTGAGAGAACCTTGGCAACTATAGCTGAGTGAAGGGAATTAGGGACTTCTGAATGGAAATTCTCGACCCCCATACTCAGTCTGGAATTCCTTGGATTCTTTGGAGGCAGATCTGGCAATTAAAAACTAGTACAAATCCAACATACCTTTATGATTCAAACACAACTTTCGTGCAGCTTGGTTCCCTCTATAGCTTTTTGAACAGCCTCGGTGTGCAAATCAAAGCCAGACTCAGTATCTAGGGTAACCAAATACAAAGGATGTCTATATCTTTCATTGGAAAAGTAGGGATTTCAGCTACTGATTTCTTAATTCCTCCACTGCAGGAATGCTTTTCGTTGGTACAATTGCTAACATACAGATGCCTTATGTGCTCTTCCATTGCTAGCCTGCCCTTTTGAAAGTATATTATATAGAATATTTGGTTCCTAATCAACCTGGGTTCCATGAATACCATTCAGATATAAATATCTATTTTAAAAACTCCACATTCTATTTGCAAAGGGAACAGTCCTTGCATCTGTAAATTCAAAGCAAATTTGCTAGGTGTGAGCCAGGGAGATTTTTTTTTTTTTTACTTTTTTTGCAGGAAAGGAAGAATAAACTTTTTCATCTAAAGCTGAATTTTGTTTCTCTGAAGTTTTAACATGCAGGAGAATAACCAAACACTTAGCAGGCCATTCACTGCAGATAATTGTCTTTCTTTTAAGCAGGCTTTAAATATTAAATGCACTCTGATATATTTAGGAGTTCTGCCTGCAGAGTCTCAAACAATAATTGGATGCTGCTTAGAAAGTGAATTTGTAATGCTGGCTGTTCAATGTTTCACTGGCAACAATAATTTCCCAAATGGAAGATGGCAAAAATGTAGGCTGTGGAAAAGAAAGGAATGCAGACAAGGTAGACATTTATATGCTTTGTTGAATTATCAATTTTTCATTGTCTCTTTGGGGAGAAGGGGGGGGAAACATAAGTTTTTAAACCCGTGCAGAGCTAGTTCATAATACATTTCTACAATCAACAACATTTTCCACCACAAGAAGTGGCAGCATCAAGACAGCGGGCATGTCTCTTGCTGAAGACTGAGGAACTTTGTCTGAAGAGATTAATTGATACGAAAGTGCAGTCTTTGAGCTGTTCCCAATGCAAAAGTTCACTTGAGGTTTCTCAGGTATTCGTGCATATATAATATGTACTGATGACATCAGGCAATAGGCATTCAATCTGCCCTTCAATTGTTACTCTCAACCTGACCTCTGAGGGGACACTTGTCTTTAGTGCAGAATCTCGTGTACAGTAGTCCTCGACTTACAACAGTTCATTTAGTGACCGTTGGCAGTTACAACGCCACTGAAAAAAGTGACTTACGACCATTTTTCACACTTATGACCGCTGCAGCATTCTCACAGTCATGTGATCAAAATTCAGACGCTTGGCAACTGACTTGTATTTATGATGGTTGCAGTGTCCCCAAGTCATGTCATCACTTTTTCCAACCTTCTGACAAGCAAAATCAATGGGGAAGCCAGATTTAGTTAACAAATACGTTACTAATTTGACAACTGCAGCAATTCCCTTAACGACTGTGGCAAGAAAGGTCATAGAATGGGGCAAGACTTACTTAACTGTCTCACTTAGCAACATACATTTTGGGCTGAACTGTGATCATAAGTCGAGGACTACCTCATCAGTTGAGATTCTTCACAAAGTTTAAACTGAGAAACTGGGCAGTCCTTTGTGATTGCAACAAAATGATGTGAGAAGAATGAAGCCAGCATGATTGCTCATTCTTGCTTCTTTTCTTTGCATAAAATGCCCAACAATGTTTTCAGCAGTGTAGTGATCAATATATATATATTTTTGGTAGTCTGATATTCCAAGTCTACAATGTGCACAAGTTATTTATTATGATGGTGATGACATTTTTAAGTGCACAATGATTGCTAGCTTTTCTGAGGCAGACCTGCACATAGCCATTATGTGCATTAAAACATTATGATTACAGAGTGCTGAGTGGACTCTGTTATATTATGGACACATGCCAAAATATTTACCCTATGGGCAATACCTTAATGTTTCTGGGCATTTGAGCTATGGGGAAATACAAGAAACTGGAAATGTTATGCAAAAGTTAACTATGTGTAATCCTTTTTATTTTTTTTTAAGAACACATATAAAACAATTCTGTTACATGCATGTTTTTTTTCAGAAGATTCACCATGTACAATTATTTTATCAAAAATAATTACAAATATAAAGATTAGGAAAATGGTAGGATCAAGCTTAAGTGCCATCCCCCCACCCCCGTTTGTTTGTTCAATGATGAATCTACCTTGAATTGGGCTTTACTGCTTGTGAGCTTATAGACAAATCCATGGAATTTTCTTAACAAAACTATGAAAGACATTTGCCATTTATTTATTTATTTAATTTTTTTTTCCAGATTTCTAATTTAGCATAGTGTTCTGGTGGATTGATGGAGTGTTTTCTGGTGGAAATTACTGGCTGGGGAATTCTGAAAGTTGAAGTCCACTAAGCTTAAAGTTGTCAAGGTTGAGAAACACTGTGATGGATTGTAATCAAATGCTAACTAGGTATTGGAGAGAGGCTGGCAGAATTGGGGGAAGTGTCAAGTGGGGAATTAGTCTGGAATCCATACATGGGCACAAAACCTCCTCAAATGCTATTGAACCTTATCCAGTTCTACCCAGGTGCAAACAGTCTCCAAAGATTCCTGTGCATAGGCTTGAACTATAAATCATCTAACTGAAATCTTCACAGATGAACCTGGTTGTTCTCAAATGCACTAGATCTAATCTTGCTCTAATAAGCTTTCATCATGCAATTGATTAACGTGGTCCTTCATGAGCATCTGTATAAGAGGGTTCTCATTTACTTTGATGACATTCTCATCTACACTGAAACCCTGGATGAACATGTGAAATTGGTTTAGCAAATGTTAAAGAAACTATTGGCAGCCAAGCTATATGACAAACTGTCAAAATGTGAATTCCACAAAACTGCTTTAGACTACCTTGGCTACTGCATATCTAATTAGGGAGTAGAAATGGACCTGGGGAAAGTGAAAGTAGTCTTAGACTGGCAAACCCCATGCACCAGAATTTTTTACCACCAATTTATCCCCTCATTTGCAGAAATTGCCCTTCCCATTACTGAGCTGCTAAAAACTGGGGCTGGCCCTACAAAACTGAGGCCAGGGAAACCCCTAAATTGGACATTAGAATGCCAATGAGCATTTGAATGCTTAAAAAGGCATTTCATGAAAGAACAGGTACTAAAGCACCTGGACCCAGAGCAACCTTTTGTAGTCCAAGCCAATGCCAACAGCATAGCAGTGGTGGCAGTCCTCTTGCAAAGAAATGCCAATGGAAACCTACACTCCTGCACTTACACTTCTAAAAGGCTCACTGAGACCAAGAGATGATGGGACATCTGGGAAAAGGAAGCGTACGCAGTACACTGGGCACTGCTCACACGGAGACAATTCTTGGAAGGCAGTCAACAACCTTTTGAAGTTTGGACCTATCACAAAAATTTAGAGGCACTAAAAACCCCAGGAGACTATCCCCCAAACAAGTCTGGTGGGCGCAATACTTCAAGCGGTTCAACTTCGAATACATTCCACAGGGGAAAAAAACCTCCTGGCACTTTGTCAAGAAAGCCACAATTCAACAGCAAGAGAGAGGAGTAATTCATGCCAAAGTTCCTCCTTCCCAATTAGTGTCACAAGCAAAAAGGCACACCCCAAAGACAAAAAGGCAATGATCAAAAGATTGAAAGATGAGCTCTCAATGGACCCATCGTACCAAAACAACAAGGACATTTTAACTCAAAAAGATGGAATAGCTTGGAAAAGGTCAAAACTATACATTCCCCACACTCTGCGAATCCAGGTCCTGCAAAGGAGCCATGATTCTAAACAAGGAGGACATTTTGGCTACTTAAAAACATTACACTTAGCCAGAAAACAGTTCTGGTGGCCAAAGTTGAAAAAAGACATTGAGGACTATGTAAAGAGCTGTGCCACTTGTGCAACAATGAAGACGAGACCTGGGAAGCCTCCAGGACTTCTCCAGCCAGTGGCAGAACCATCTTGACCTTGGGAGGAGATAGGGATGGACTGTATAGTAGAGCTTCTGGAGAGTGGTGGGAACACAGTCATTTGGACCGTGATTGACTTATTCTCCAAACAAGCCCATTTTATAGCCTGCAATGGTCTCCCCTCAGTGAGGAAATTAGCTAGACTGTTTGTTAAGCACATCTATCAGCTACATGGGGTTCCTCATAGGATTATATCAGACAGGGTTGTCCAATTCATGGCTACGTTCTGGCGAGAGTTTATAGAAACCTTGGGTCATCCCAAGGCTTAAGTTCTGCATTCCATCTGAGCACGAATGGGGCGGCGGAATGTAAGAACACAATGATTGGGCAGTATTTGAGATGTTATGTAAATTACCAGCAATCAAATTGGGCAGAGCTCTTACCGTTCGCAGACGTGGCTTACAACAATGCAGTGCACCGTAGTACGAGGTTAACTCCATTTCAAATTAGCACTGGGATGGAATTTGTCCCTATGCTGGAGTTACCTACAGAACCCCCCTCATCCATGTCAGTAAATGAATGGATGGACTTGTTGAAAGAATACTGGGAAAATAACAAGCAAGCTTTATTTATTTATTATTTATTTATTTATTATTTAATTTTCTATACCGCCCTTCTCCAGAATAGGACTCAGGGCGGTGAACAGCCAGAGTAAAAAAACAATACATACAAAATTTAAAAACAATTTAAAATAATTAAATATTATTGGCCGTAAATTAAAATAACCCAATTTAAAATCAATTTAAAATTAACTCAAGCCATCCCCGTTAGTTGAAATAAATGGGTTTTCAGGGCCCGACGAAAAATCTGGAGGTCTGTTATTGTACGTATCTCTGGGGGGAGGTTGTTCCAGAGGGTGGGCGCCGCCACAGAGAAGGCTCTCCCCCTGGGAGTCGTCAGCCGACATTGTCTGGCAGACGGCACCCTGAGGAGGCCCACTTTGTGCGAGCGTACTGGCCGGTGGGAGGCTATTGGTGGCAGAAGGCGGTCTCGTAAGTACCCCGGCCCTAAGCCATGGAGCGCTTTAAAGGTGGTCACCAACACCTTGAAGCGCACCCGGAAGACCACTGGGAGCCAGTGCAGCTCGCGCAGGAGAGGTGTTACACGGAAGCCGCAAAAATCAACAAAATGCAAACTGACAAACATTGCTCCCAGCAGCCACAATTTAAAGTATGAGATAAGGTTTACCTGTCTACAAAATATTTGAAGTTTCAGTGGTCATCTAGGAAGTTAGGACCAAAGTTTTTAAGGTCCTTTTAAAATCATAAAGGTAATAAACCCAGTTACAGTGAAACTCAGGCTCCCTTGCCTACTCGGGAAAGTGCATCCGGTTTTCCATAGCAGTTTGTTAAAGCTGGCTGTCAGTTCCTCCCTTAGGCCAGTAGATCGGGCTCCACTGAAACCTTTACTGATTGTGGGTCATGAACATTAAACAAAGGTTAAACAAATTTTAGATCCCCATATTTATAGGGGGCAATTACAGTATTTAATACATTGGAAAGGATATCCTATTCAGTGGCAACCTGGGTAAAAAGCTGGAAGGTGAATGCTGATAGGTTGATTAAAAGTTTCCATGAGAAGAATCCTCATAAGCCACAAGAGGTTCCTTGAGGTGGCAGGGGAGGTTAGAGTTAATTAATCTTTTATGGTTGTCTCTTTGCAGGATGTTGTTTTCGCTTGAAGGGGAGCAGCCTGTTGACCCTGAAGATGACATGTGTAGCCATATTTTCTTGTAACCTTTGTACTCTTTTTCTATTAGCTTTTAGGTTTGTAGTAACTGAATTTTATAAATATTTCAGGTTCACCACTTTCTAACTGTTGAAAGGGAGGTGTAAAGATAAAGGAGGAATGTTATGTCTAGGTGGCATTCCTTTCCCATGAGAAGAGACAAGATGCCTGCAGCTGGCTAAAGGTGGAGTTTGGAGTCACTGGGCTGTTGGACTGATAATTGATTAGAGGTTGTGACTCGGGGAGGGGGAGTTTCTAATTTATGCTTTTATTGGGTGTAATTCTGGATCCGGTTGAGAGTCGGAATTACACCTAGTCCATGCCAATTTAATATGTTCCTAATAAATGGATTTGAAAAGGAAGATGGATGCCTTGGACTTTATTTTTTGGGACATGGAGGCTTGACACTAAGCATATTTATTAGTTTGGTTTATATGCCGCCCTTCTCCGGAGACTCAGGGCGACTTACAATGCTTTTAAGCAATAGCCTTCATACTTTTGTATATACCTGCTTAGTAGGGCTTTGTGGGCCCCCCAAGTAGTGTTCTATTTTATACAAAGTCAGCTTATTGCTTCCACAAACCGGGTCCTCATTTTACCTACCTGGGAAGGATGGAAGGCTGAGTCAACCTTGAGCCTGGTGAGAATTGAACTCGTAGTAATTGCAGGCAGCTGGCAGCTAAATACTACTTTAACAATAGTTTAGTCCACTGCGCCACCAGGCTCTTATGTAACTCGTATCACAAGTTACAATTAGTTACAGTTTGTGTTGATTTGGAAAATTGAGATAAAGGATAAATTCATATAAAAGTTGTACAGCTAATTTTATATGAAAGTAGGGCATATGAAGTATATTTCCTTCTGTGATAAGGCATCACTTGAAATTTATTATAAAATATAAATATGCATTTGACACAGAAAATATTAAAATTATTCAGTAGCATTATGTTAGAATTATTGCAAATTTCCCACATGCATTTAAGAAAGTCAAACCAATAATAATAAGGGGTGAAGAAGTTATTATTGGGTCAGTTTTGTATTATAAAGTATAAAATTATGAAATTTTTTTAAAGAACATTTTCTGATATTAATTTCTGCAAAATGCTTGCCTATTGTTTATATTAATCATTATGTAATTAAATAAAATAATTTCATGGTATACATTGGATTGCAGAAATGTTACATTTATTTATTTTATTTATTTATTTATTTTTGTTAAGCATGTATTTTATGACAGATACAAGTGTAAACATAATTATAATTACATAAAAAGGATACGAATAAAATAAAACATTAGGACATTAGGGAAGGTAGGCACGCTGGTAACATTGTTGTTATCTGCCTTAATTTCTTTTCTACATGCTAGAAAAAATAATGCAGAAAATTAAAATCAGTAGATAAAATCAGTTCCACTCATCCAGCCTAAAAATGGTTTATCCTGAATTGCAAATATCCATTTCACTTGTTTATTACAGATCAAGAAATAAAATAAAGAGTTTACAGACGAGTACTGGGAATGGAGGAAATGCTGAACGAATTGAAATAGAATAGGAAAAGTAATTTAAAAGCTTTTGTATTCCCAAAGTGATGTAATTTTATTTCAAACATTTTCACAAATGTGGAATAAATACTTGTCCCTTGCTTATTAAATGCTATTTTATAACCAAATTAAAGTAATCCTAATTCCATTATTCTGTGGATAGTTTAATTGAAAACTTCCACTTCAGTAAGTCAGTATATGTAGCTGCCTGTAAGACGGTATCCCTTTTTGGTGTCACAGTTCATACCATTTCTAAGCAGAAAATTACACAGCTAAATCCTATACAACATTTGCTAGAACGGTATATATGTATGGTCACTGTTTTTCAATTATTCAAATGTCTATGACTGAGATTCTCAGTCATCCATGTCATACACTATAGGAGGAGAACTATGTTAGTTTATGGTAGTCCCAAATCAGAAAGATAACTTCAGACGCACAGATTTTATCAAGAACACATAAAATTTAGTGTGCAATAGCTCTCTTCATCAGATGTAATGGAGTGACTAGACATATGTGAGATTTAAGTTCAAAGCCTTCATTGTAACAATACAATGACATCATGTATACAATGAAATTGGTTTAGCTTCTACTAGTGCAGTCCATACAAGAATACAAGATAACATGAATACTATAAAGAATAATCCTTATACAAGTAGTTAGGAAAAAAAACTAGTCATATGTTTCCATATGTACGTCATATTCTGTGCAACATGTATATTACTCTGGTGTATGATCTTATATCATGGTATATACATATTACACTACACTGGCACCAGTGAAATTCGTCATATTGATCTGTTTGTTGTGCTATATTGTGTTTAGGAGTCTGACAGCCCATGGGTAGAAGCTGTTTTAAAACCTGTTTGTCTGGCTGGCTATACTTCTATGTCTTCTGCCCGATGGTAAAAGTGAAAAGAGACACTGGCCAGGGTGTGAATCATCCCTAAGTATCTTCCTTACTCTGCTGAAACAGTGAGACCTGGCGATGTCATCCAGTGGTGTTAGGGGGCAACCAATGTTTTCTTGTGCCGAACTGATCACTCTCTGTAGTGCCTTCTGCCTGCGGCTGTTAAACCAGCATACCATACTGTTATATAGTATGTGAGGGCACTTTCTATCGTGGGCCGATAGAAAGAAGTCATCAGCCGTTGTTCCATCTGATTTTTATGCATTTCTAAGGAAATGAAGTCTCTGTTGAGCCTTACTAACCATCAGGGACGTGTTGTTTTTCCAAGCGAGGTCTTGACTAATGAGCACTCCCAAGAATTTAAAAGAGGAAACCCTCTCCACACAGCCCCCCTTGATATACAATGGGGCAGGTTCCTCTCTTTGCTTCCGGAAATCCAGCACCATCTCCTTTGTCTTGCTAGTGTTTAGATGTAGGTTGGTTTTTGAACACAATGTGGATAGCTTCTGCCCTTCTTCCCTGTATGCTGATTCATCCCCTCCAGTTATAAGACCCAGCACTGTTGTGTCATCTGCAAACTTGATTATGATGTTGAATGGATCAGAGGATATGCAGTCATGTGTATAGAGCAAGTACACAGGGAGGGGCTGAGCACACAGCCCTGAGGGGAGCCTGTGCTGAGCTTCAGGGTGGAAGATGTAAAGGACCCAGCCTTACTGTTTCTGGACAATCTGTCAGGAAGTCTTTGATCCAGTCACAAGTGAGGGGAGGGAAATTCAGGTCAGTCAGCTTTTCAATGAGAATGCCTGGTAAGATGGTATTAAAGGCCAAGCTATAATCTATAAAAAACATTTTGATGTAATTCCCAGATTTCTCAAGTGCAATATGTAGAGCAGTGGCGATGGTGTCCCCTGTTGACCTGTTGCTTCTATAAGCAAACTGGTGTTGATTGAAATTTGGTAGAAGACAGGACATGATGTGTTGTAGGACCAGATGTTGTTTAAACTAGATGCTGTCAAATGAATATAAAGATTTAGTGCAAGTTTAAGTTCTTTATGAGAATCTGACCAATCAGCGATCAAGGGAAATGCACAGGAGATAAGGAAGGCATTTAAAGTGGGCTGGATTTAGATCTCTTGCGGGCAACAGGGATTCATGACTTATGATGCACTTGACTCCTTCTTGGGCTCAGCCTCGTCATCTCCTACAGATGTAGGTTGGGATGGAGGAAGGAAGGGAAGATGGAAGGCAAGATGACTGTGCAGATGAGGCTATATGTGAGACACATTAATGATACCTTATGAATTAGCAATCTATTGTGGTTTTTTGAAACCTTCAGAGATAGCCTGAAATGTTTTGATATAGGAGAGTTCAGCAGTCTTTTACACAATTAATCTGGCAGGGTTTTTTTCCCCCCAAGATGGCTCTTTTGAGACCTGTAATGAAGTATCTTGGAAGACTGAAATGCTCTGATATTACAAATGTTTGTCAATTAAGAAAGCAAATATATTCAACAATCCCCAATGCTATCCATTGTTACAATTCCTGGAATCTCTAGCAATCAAAACCATGATCCTGAAGGCTGGACAAAAGAGACTATTCTACTTTTCTAGAATCATCAGGTTAGGGAAACCTGCTGTAATTTGCATATTGCTTTGACTATTTCTTCATTTAATTCTGTAGCCCCCTTTAAGCCTGGAGTCTTTTCTGTCTTTATTGCTTTCCTTGTCATTTAAATTTGTAAATTGAGAGAGATTGCATTTCCAACTTGCCTTTGAGTGTTGAAAAAATTGCTATATGTGGTATTCTGTTGTTATTGTGGGTAAATATATTCTGGAATGGATAGATGAAACATTTGTTATGACTGTAGTCACAAAAGATGCCTAGAACCACTGTAAAGCCAAAGAATTCTGGTTTATATATCTCGGCACATTTTGAAATAATCTGAAGGAGAAGGGGTGGCAGAACCTGGGGGCATAGTTAAAACAGGAATCAGCCTAGAATCCCTAAATAGCCATAAGCAGACTAAGTCCAACCTTTCTTGAATTCTATGGACCCCTATCTAACTCCAAATAGGTGCTAGCCATTACTTAAGAAGATTCCCGTCTATAGGTTATTTAGCAATGAATCAGTTTAATTGGACCTTCATGTATGGACTTTTTGTGCTTGACATAATCTCTTCTATTATTCTCTTCTCTTCTAAAATTGTTTTAATAAATTACACTCTGATATTTTCTGTCTCAAACTATCAAGCAAAATGTCACACTTTCATATTGCAAATCAAATGTGATACCTTACTTGTTATCCTTTTATTTGAAATCATGAACTCAGAGTTGCTATATGATCAGAATATTGCTGCTTGAAATCAGCACTTATGGCCATAGAATCTAAAAAAAAATCAAATTGTTCATAGTCAAATTTACTTCAGTGTGGCTTTAGGACAGAATCTGGAATTTGGACAACTTTTGTTTCCTGCCTAGATGTTTTCTATGACTTGGACATGGGAAATAATGTCTTTCTTATTTCCAGTGAAATGGCATTCAATGGTTTTGTTTTAACCATTTAATCATGTGTGACTCTTGATGACTTTATAGGCAAGTGCTCTCCAGTCTACCCTGTCAAGCACAGCTTCATTCAATTGGTGGATGTTCAACTTTGTATCAGATTTGATGTTATCAAACTAGCAAGTTCTTTGCTTGCCCCTTCTCCTTGATCCACTAACCATTCCTAGTTCTTCTCCAATGAATTTGCATGCATGATATGACCAAAGTAAATCAGACTTAGTCTTATAATTTTAGCTTCTAGTGATGTGTCCAGTTTTATATGATTTAACATCTCTCTGTTAGTTACTCTGCCTGTCCATGATATATGCAATAATTGTCAGTGTAATTATGAGCTAGGATAGCCATAACAACAAGTCAGCCAATGGGAACTGTTTGGTGACTGAGAGCCATGTCAGACAGCTCTGTGCCTGGGTGTGGCTTAGTTTAACTGTATGTGAGTTCTGGTTCTGGCTTCTGCCGCATGGGAATGTATACATGCATCATACTTTATATTATTGTATATAAAGAAGTTTCTTTTATACATGAATCCTGCTGAATTATTTACTTGTATGCTGGTTGGATTGCTGCAAACTCTGGCAATAATTTATGCCAGCACCACAGTTCAAAGACATCAATGCATCTTTGATCAGCCATTCTTAGTGTCCAACTCTCATACCCATACATTGTTATAAGGAAGACTATTGCTTTCAATACATTCAATATACAATGGCATTCAATGCCATTATGATATTGTTCTTTTGGAATAAATACTTCTTTCTGAAGGATAATTTCCAGAAGATCATTTTGAAGAATTACTACGTTGTTCATAAGATCAGGAGATGAAACGTTTTGTATGCCATCTTTATGAAGGAGACATAATTTATGGCAGCAAGGGAAGGAAGGAAAAGCAGGAAGAATATAAAATTTTATTAAAAAAACATAAAAAGAAGAAAAGTCCTTTCCTTTTCCTTTCCCTTCCCTGTTTTGTGAAATGTATTTTAACTTGATGCTCTGTTTTCATTTCATTTTCAAGGCTGATTCAGAGGACCCAAATAATGGCCAGGATGGCAAATACAGCTCTGACCTTAAATGCTCAGGAACCACAAAAAAAGTCCCAAAAGATCTTCTGAGAAGCTGCTCCATTCTAGAATCTACCTTATTCTCCTTGCTAGAACTGGCCCTTTAAATTCTTCAATTAATCCCGGAAACATTATTTACTGTACATATACTCATAGATCCGGATGGCATACATGTTGATTTGCAAGTTTCGATTAGCTTAAGCCTGTCTCTATGTTCTCTGGATTCAGAATCAATACAATAAAAGCTTTTTAAAAACCTTTAAAATGTTTCGCTGTGTAGCAGCATATGGCATACAAACATCCTGGTAATTTCAAAATATGTGGGGAAAGTATTATTTTTTGAAAAGAAACCTGCAGTCAGCCTGGGAATTTATTTTTGATCTATAGCACTGCAAAGCTCTGCATATTGAAGATTAAATTAACCATTAAATTAACACAGGCAGAAGCAATATCATTTTTATTTAAGAAGATTACATGAAAAATCTTCTCTCTTTCTCTAAAAAAAAAAAAAGTTCCCTTTGTGCCAGTATTGCAGTTGTAGATCAGCCAAATTGTTCTATAATTCAGAAGCCTTCCCTGCTGCCTGTTAAATAATTCTTTAAATTTCATGTTAAACTAAGATCTGCCAAAAAGTGTGTGGGTGGGGAGAGAGGGAGAAAGAAACCCAAAGGGGAGAAACCTTAGATTTTTGTCTGGTGCAAATTAGACCCATTTTATAACAGTCACGTTTCATTGTTTTTCTCTTCCTGCAGAATCTATGACATGAAGCTGAGCATAGAAAATTCATATGTTTCTTATGTCTTCATGTCATTTCAGAATAACCAATTATCACATTCCATCTGTCACAGGACATATTTCTCTGACTTGTACCTGGGGTTGGGCACTGGTCCTAGATATTATAATTTTCTCAGATCAAAACCCAAATTTACTTGTTCAAAACATCTTAATATACTTGGGAACAGAAGGAGTAAGGAACAATATGTAGAAAGCTATTGGCTCTTTTTTTTCAATCCATTCCTTTCCTTATTCTTTGTTCTAATAATAATTTTTTATTGAAGTTCTAAAGATGAAAAATTAATACAAATTTAAGAAAAATATAAAAGGAAAAAAGGTAATACACAAAAAGATATATAAATATATAAAGGAATGACTTCATTCAGTCCTAATCAGCAAAAGTCCATTAAGAGTTACTAGAAATAACAACATATATGTTAAATTTAATCAAATAAATCAGTTTTATATTCCTTTACTTTACTTTGAACATAAATAATTTGACAATTTCTCTAATCATACAGCAAAAAAAATCTCCTTTCTTTGTCTTGTCTTGAGTTATCTTTAAAGTCTCATAATTCAGTTCTAGTAAAAAAAAAAAAAAACCCTTTAAGATAGCGGTCCCAAATCTTTTTGGCACCAGGGACTCAAAAATGTTTTTATGGACCATGGGAGGGATGGTTTTGTGCACCAACTATCCTGTGCATGCACAAATGAAGTTTTGCTCATTTGCATGGAATGTTCCTAACAGGCCACTGGATTGCCCTTTAATCCATGTCTCAAAAGTTGATTTCTAATCATTTTCTCTTTGTCTTTTCTCAGAAAGTCCTTCATAAGTTTAACAAGTCCCTTTTATAAATCCAAAGCAAAAAAGTTATCCAAGTCACTCTTCTGATTATTTGCATATCTCCTTTAATTATGAAGACATTAGCTGGTTTCATTTGTAAATCCAATGTAGCATCTGTTTCAGGGGTGGGTTCTAAATTTTTTTACTACCAGTTCTGTGGGTGTGGCTTATTTTGTGGGCATGGCTTGATGGTCATGTGACAATTATTTAGGATTTAGCAGTGGTACTGGTCTACCAGGCTTTTAACTGCTTGCAGAGCTGTACCGATCTACCCATTTATTTTTGCAGGCACTGATCTACTCATGTATTTTTGCAGGCACTGATCTACTCATGTATTTTTGCAGGCACTGGTCTACCCATGTATTTTTGCAGGCACTGGTCTACCCATTTATTTTTGCAGGCACTGATCTACTCATGTATTTTTGCAGGCACAGGTCTACTCATTTGTTTTCTTTTAACACTGATCAGCTGTAGTGCGACCCTTTGAAGCCCCGCGGCAAGAGTTTAAACAGTTTTTTTCCCTCTAGCCATCAGCTGGGACTCAGGAGGCAGCAATAGATTGGGGGTGGGGGCAAATAAAAGGTAAGAATAATGCGGAGGGTGGGGGGCAGGGGGTGGGGGGGGCAGAACTGGTTCGGTGACATCATATCGTCACTGCTACCGGCTCGGCAGAACCGGGCAGAACCGGGCGGAACCCACCACTGATCTGTTTCCATATCATTCTTGTAGCCTAGCATTTTAAAATCTAGTTTCAGATCCACATTCCAAACAGCCTATTTTGTCCAGTAAGATATGTTCATCTTCTTTAACCTTTTTAAAATCCATTTTTATAACAGCAATTTTAAGACTAATTTCTGGTGTATTGATCCCAAATATCTCTGAATTCTTCTAAAGTCAGATATTTTTGCTCCATTCTGTATTAATGGTTCTCTTCTCCTTTAATTATAACCTTTCTGGTTCTCTCTAGTGTCCAATCTTCTTATCACATTTTCTTTCTAGTCAACAATACTTTCCCATGGGAAGATACCTCACTGTTAGTTTCAAAATCTTTACAGATTTCTAAAATAAATTTTAAGCAACCCACAGGAAGAATACTTGTAATTAATTTTGAAATATTATCTGAGTTCCCTCTGGTCCCTTAATCCGTTTATAACTTTCCAAATCAATGTTCTAATGACACTTTTGCTGGTTTATTTTTTAAAACTTTGTAAGCTTCTTAAACTTGCACAAAACTTTTTTCTTCAAAAATAGGAGGAAATTTACCTGGTGTAATAAAACTTGCCTTTCCAAAGGTTCTCGATATCCAAAAAGCTATTAACAAGCAATCTCCAGAAGTGATTAAGTAAGTATGCAGAACCTGAGTCCATAAAGACTCCAAACAATGGCTTGGAAAATCTGGTAATTTGTCAGGTCACAGTGCTCTAAAATCTGCCAGAGCCAACCTGTCAGGATTCCAAGTAACAGCCCAGATGAAATCAAAACTCCAAGGCAGGGTTCCTCAAAGTATAGATTTATTAGGCATGTCATATTGGCACAGCTGGTGAAAACCCGACTCTGAAGATCCCTGGGTTTTCCCCACCCAGTTCAAAATCCAAAGTTCTTCCCCCCATTACACACAACCATCACATGCCCCAATCAGGTCTCTCTCCCCATCCCAGATGTCTCCCATCTATGCCCCTCCAGTGCTGCTGAGAGTGTCCTTGGTTCCCAGAAGAAAGAATGTTATTTTGGCTACATATTCCCCCAGCTATCTCTACTCCCCCTCCCTTTCCCACAGCTCCATCCAGCCTCGCCATGGCAACCCTGAAGATGTTCAAAAATGGCTTCAGGTTTGACACAGCTGTCTTATGGTTTCTTCATGGATAGCCACTGCAAACTTTGGTTCTTTCCTTATTCTAGAGAAGAATTCTGAGGTGTTGTTCCATTCACCAGCTCTTTATTCCACTGTGGTCGTCACCTCTGCTCATGCAGAGCTGTCTCCAATTTGCTATTTTCCCCCCAAAAATCCTCACTTTCCCCACATTCATCATTTGTACCTGGGTATGTTGTTTTAATCAGAGAGAGAGAGAGAAAATGTGAGAAGCTAAGGGTTTTTTGTATTTCAATCATAAACTGTTGGTTGTTATAAAACTGAAAATGAAGCCAGTTGAAGAAATCCCTTTATTCATTTCAACCTCTTTCTCCATTTTGGCTGTGCTGATGGTTCATATTCTCAGTATTCTCTCCAGAAAACAATTGTCATGCCCTTTGATTAATGGATTTCCTCCCTTCCTCCCACTGATACTGTGAAAAGATGCACCCATTTCTTTCTGTCAGTGGGTGGTGGGGACAAAGAGGTTCACCAATAGCCATTTTGCATGAGCTTGTCTCTATTGACTTCCATACTTCCATACTTATACTTGACATCTTCCCAACAGTAAAACATTTTACCATTCTTTCTATACATTTGGCTCGAATGGGAAACTGACACAACTCATGTCATATTTCACCTGGTTAAAAATTATATACATACATACATACATACATACATACATACATACATACATACATATAATCTTCTTAAGTTTTTTGCATATGTATGTATGTATGTATGTATGTATGTATGTATACCGTGTTTTCCCCAAAATAAGACATTCCCTGATAATAAGCCCAATCGGACTTTTGAGTGCATGGCAATAAGGCCAAGCGCTTATTTCAGGGTTCAAAAAAATATGTTTTCTTCTGGTAGATGGTGTGTCCTAGGGAGCCATTGGATTTCTTGTAGACTAAGACACACCATCTACCAGAAGGAAACACACACAAACCGCTATCTGCATGCACTCTCACACCACCACCCAGCACAGATCAACTCCGTAGCCAAGACACTCATCTCCAGAGCAAAACACTTGGCTGACAAACAACACCTAAAAAATGAACTACACACTCTCACTCACGTACTAACATCCAAAGGATTCCAAAGAAATAAGATTACCAACCTAATCCAAAAAGAAACCCCCACTAAAATCCAAGACAGAGAACAAGAAAACGGTAAAGCCCTCCTACCATACATAAAAGGCACCACAGACAGAATCAGCAAGATCCTCCACAAACACAACATCAAGACAGCATTCTGCACAAACCGAAAAATATCCACCATCCTAAGAAACCCCAAAGACAAAATTGAGTTAGAAAATCAAGGAGTATATGAAATCCCATGCACCGCCTGCCCCACCACATACATCAGACAAACCAATAGAAGAATAAGTGCACGCATTGAAGAACACAAGAACTCAGTCAGAAAGGAAGAACCAACTTCTTCCCTGGTCTAGCACTTTAGAGCCACAGGACATGAAATTGACTTTAAAAAGACCAGAACTATCACCAAAACTGAACACTTTAACAACAGAATAATCAGAAAAGCCATTGAGATAGAAAAATGCCCACGCAGCATGAATACATGAGATGATACCTCCCACCTACCAGCCATTTGGAAACCCGCCCTTATTGATAAACAAGTCCCTAACACTAAGAATGACACCAGACCCACACTCACGAAAACCACACAGGATGTCACCACCACACATCCACGCAGAAAGCAGACTCAAACCCACACTGATAATGAGCCACGACCAAGGACCAGAAGCCAGACCGCAGCTGCATCATTAGCC